GATTTCCCCAGTCTTCCAACTTCAGTCTCCATAAAGTGTTGTTGGCTGACAGGCAGAGTATGGTACAATAGATGGGAACAGGGCTCTTTATGTTTTCTCTACTGAGATGGCTTCCTGTTGATTTTAAATGGTGACTTTGATCAATATTTAGGCAGCATTAAAACCTTAAATAAGCTTCGAGTCTTACAGGAATGTGTGGCCAAGATACACCACAGTATTTTCCTTAACTGCAGTTTATAGAGAAATGCAGTAAAATCAAAAGAATTAGTAATGTCACTGTTGTTACTTTAATCACCATGAGCCTGGCAGGTAGTTATAAAAACTATTTGATACAAGCTGTATTAGACTGGGAAGAAAAAAAGTAGACAACTATTGTGTATGTGTTCTTTTTATTATTTTTAATGAGCCCTATGTGAGTTAATGCCTTTCTCTAAAATAAAATAAGAATTTCTCTGAAATAGAGGCAAAACATAATCAGTAATAATCCATAACCAAATGATTGTCTCAGAAAAGAGTAGAATAGCTGGAAATAGAGCTTTATAGCCTTGTTTATACAATTTATAACAGAATGCTTTTATTTCATTTCATTTCCAGTATAGTTAACATACAGTGTTATATTAGTTTCAGGGTACAATCTAGTGATTCAGCAATTACCCACATTACTCAGGGCTCAGCAAGATAAGTGTATCCCTAATCCCCTTCACCTGTTTCCCCCATCCCCCTACCCACCTCCCCTCTGGCAACCATCAGTTTGTGCTCTATAGTTAAGAGTCTGGTTTTTGGTTTGCCTCTTTTTTTTACCCCTTTGTTTGTTTTTCTTAAATGCCACATATGAGTGGAATCATACGGTATTTTTCCTTCTCGGACTTACTTATTTTGCTTAGCATTACACTCTTTAGATCTATCCATATTGTTGCAAATACTAAAATTTAATTCTTTATGGCTGAATAATATTCCATTGTATGTATTTACCACATCTTTATCCATTCATCTATTGATGGACACTTGGGCTGGTTCCATAATTTGGCTATTGTAAATAATGCTGTGATAAACATAAGGGTGCATATATTCTTTTGAATTAGTGTTTTTGTATTCTTTGAGTAAATACCCAATAGTGATTTACTGGATCATATGGTATTTCTGTTTTTAATTTTTTGAAGAACTTACATACTGTTTTCCACAGTGGTTACACCGATTTGCATTCCCACAACAGAAGGTATTTTAAGGAATTGTATATTAAAATATCTTTTATGAAAATAAATCATTGTAAGAAATGTACCAATTGCTGTATGAACTTAGCATTGACCAGTGTTTCTTTTCTTTTTACATTTCTAAAATAATGCCATACGCATATACACATAACCCTAATACATAGATTAAGAGAAATAATAGCGTGGGGAAGGATGGTAGGAGATAACAAGTGAATACAGGAAGAGAAAGGAAGAAACCTTTAACTATAAATTTAAAGGTATTTTTCACTGAAATAATTCTGAGAAAAATCAAAATTAAATTGAGGCTATATCAGCTCACCTTGTTTACTGTTCAGGGCTACTAATTTGAAAGCTGGTTTGAAAAGAGGTGATTATATGTTGATCTCATTCACTTAGAGCATTTTTTAGAAAGTTCTTTGTTTTTTAGTAGTCATAAGCTTTTTTTATTCACCAGAAACTCTAGCCACTGTGTTACCTTTCTGGCTTTCTATCTTTTAGTTTTCCATCCAGAGAGCTATGTTGAGATTTCCTGATTTTTTAGCATAGGCTCAACGGATCTGGTTAATAGAGCAAGACTGGACTCTTTGGCATCCTTTAGACCAACATTTTCCAAACTGTGTTCTGCAGAACACTAGTGTTCCATGTGATGTTAATGGATTGCCCACTAAAGCAGAATATTATAGTTAAATGTTTTTAGGGAATACTAAGTTAAATAATTTGAAACTTGTTTGTTTATAGGATAACTTCATAGCCTTTAATATGCTAGCAATGCATTGAATATCTCAACCATTTGGCCCTTGAACTTTGAGAACACCAATGGGAAATTTTTTTTTACAGATTTTAATTGTGATATGTCTCTAGATGCCTATACATTTATTTTGTAATCCTGTTATAAGTACTCCCTTGTAACTGTGGCCTCTACTACCTTATATTGTGTTTGCCTGGCAAAATCCCAACCCTGGTTGAACTCATTTTGTGTCTACTTTGTGTCTACCACCTGACTGGTTGAATGGAGCTGTAGAGAAAGGCACAACACGCTCCCTCGTCTGATGTCACAGTCATGACTGCTAACCTCAGGGGGGCCTTAAGGCCTGCCCCATAATCCTGCTCGACCGATTCCTGTCTGTTCTTCCGGACCACTAAATTCCACTCCATTTTTTCCCTCGAACCTCTCTCACTTCCTTCCCCACTCCCTCTCAACTGATAACCTTGTTTCCTGGTCAGTGAGAAAAAAGACTGTCAGCAGAGATGTGCGTGTACTCCCACTACCTTGTCTGGTGGGTATATTCCTGATCTCTGCCCATAGACCGAACTCTCTCTGTGACTGTGGGTGTTGTGCCTGCCTCTGCCTTGGGGGCCCACTCTCATGCCTGAGAGTCTGTTCCCTCCCACCGAGTCGCTTCTGTCTTCTCCATCAATAGGTCATCCCTCTCTGTTAAATTATTCCTATCAGTATCCAAATAGGAGAAGGGATTTTGGGGTTTTTTGATACCCCTTGTAGACCTAGCACCTAGAACACTACCCTGATCATGGCAGTTGCTCGGCATGTATTTCTTGAATAAATGAAGTAATATTTCCCATCTTTTATAAAGAGTTTTATTTTAAAGCAATTCTAAACTTAAAAAATAGTACAGAGGAGGGCACCTGGCTGGCTCAGTCAGTAGAGAGTGCGACTCTTGATCTCAGAGTTGTGACCTTGAGCCCCACGTTGGGAGATAGAGTTTACTTAAAAAAAAAAAAAAAAAAAAAAAGTTGTACAGAGAATGTCCATGTATGCCTCATCCAGCTTCCCCGTGTATTTCCCGACAAAAACAAAAACAAAAGTTTCCTTTTGTTCTTGGTTTCCTTTTAAAACAGTTCCTTAAGCATGTTTTTTCTATTAGTTGACTCCATCTGCAGCAGTCCTTCCATTTTTCTGTTAAACCCACCCCATTCCAGGGGCGCCTGGGTGGTGCAATCGGTTGAGTGTCTGACTCTTGGTTTCTGCTCAGGTAGTGATCTCAGGCTCATGGGATTGAGTCCCGCCTTGGGCTCTGTGCTCGGCTCAGAGTCTGCTCGAGTTCCTCTCTCCCTCTGCTTCTCCCCGCCCCCACACCTAAAATAAATAAATAAATCTTAAAAAAAAAAAAAACAAAAACAGTCCCTATTCCGGTTTCTGCCCTTTCTTATCCCCAACTCCACCAGAACAGCCTTGTCAAGAATGCTAAAGACCTTTACATTGGTAAAACTGGTGATCAGTTCTTGTTTCTTTTCTTCTTTGATCCAGCATCAGCATTGATTTCTTCTTTTTTTCCTTCTTCTCTTATTTTCCAGACATTTCTTCTTAGACTTCTTTGCCTCCTACCTCTTCTGTTCTCTCTCTATATGCATTTTCTGGATGGCCTCATTTCTCTTCATGACTTTAAATATCCCAAATGCTGATGACTCCCACATGTGTGTTTTTACCCTTGATCTTGTCTTTGAACTCCAGATTTTTATGCTCGTTATCTCTTTGACTTCTTACCCTGTCTGTCAAACATATGTTGATAACAAGTCTCTTCACTGTTTGCAATGCCAGAAACTGTTGTCTGCAGTCTTCCCGTCTCGGGAAATGGTCCTAATTCTTCCTGCAGCCCATGCCCTAAACCTTGGAACGTTCTTGACTTCTTCACATCAATCACATTCTATATCAAATCTACCAGCATATCCTGTTGGTTCTTCTTTAAAGTATAGACCTAAAAACATGATCACTTCCTGTTATCTTTACCACCAGCAATTTGGTCCAGATCACCATCGTCAACTCTGGCAAAAGCCTTCTAAGAGCCTCATGTCATTTCCAGTGTGGTTAATTGTCTGCAAAGCAGTTAGAATAATTACTTCAAAACATAGATTAGATTATGCCACTCTTCTGCCTAAAACCCCAGCATGATACTCTAGTAAATATCATTTTGCTCTGAGTAGAATCCCAAGACCTTATCATGCCTAAAGGCCCTTCCTAATACTCTTCCCTATTCTCTGCTTCCCTTGGTCTATTCCTGACCCAGCTGTGAGACTCCCACCTCGTAGCCTTTATACTTGCTGTTCCCTCTGCATGGAATGGCTTTTTCTTACACATTTGAGCGGCTCGGTTCTCTTTCTTCACTTCCTTTAGGTGTCACCTTATTTGGGAGGCCACCTTAAAGCTGTTGTATACAGGGGTGCCTTTCCATTTTTGCTCTCTGCTTTCTTCCACTTCCTGTCCCCGTAGTGTTGTGCCTCCAGAGTGCATATTTTGTTAATTTATTTCCTGTCTTCCCAGTATACTGCAGACCCCACAGAAGCAGGAACTTTGCACATGTTTTCTGTGTTCCTCTGTCCTCAGTGTCTGTCCCAGGGTCTTGTGCATTGTAAGCGCTCAGTGTTTAAATGAATGAGTGAGCGAATGAATGAATGAAACGAGTTGCACGTTAAGATGAGGAATACACAGAACAGTTTGATCAGGAGCAAGGAATCAGATGCCACCTAATGCCTGCTGCTGAAGAGGTCTTACGAAGACATGTGCTTGACTGAAGTAAAGATGACAGAAGAAAGAGGTGAGACTAGGAAGGGACTACGCCGTCCCGATACCTGGCCTCTGCCATGGTAACAGATGATAGAAATACCATGCTTGTGTTGTGAGGGTGATTGAGCTTCCAGCTTTTTGCATGTTTGCCCTTACAAGATGCTGACATAATTTTAGCTTGTTTGCCTATATGATTATTTATGTACACATTTACTTGTATTTGAGACTTCATCCTGATAATTATAATTTTGTGATTTATATAACTGCAGGTGTGAAGCATCGAGTCCACACATTCATCCAGTCGGTTGGTGTAAAGAACATAGAAGAACGCTTATTACTCCACCAGGTTTGTGTTTATTATGTGTCTAAGATTTTTTTTTTTAGAAGATTTTTTTCTGTTTGTCGGAGAGAGAGAGAGAGAGCCCAAGCAGGGGAGCAGCAGAGGGAGAAGCAGGCTCCCCACTGAGCAGGGAGCCTGACATGGGGCTCGATCCCAGGACCCTGGGATCATGACCTGAGCTGAAGGCAGATGCTTAACCACTGAGCCACCCAGGTGTCCCTTATGTGTCTAATATTCTTCATATACATCAAGAGTCTGCAAACTTTTTCTGTAAAGGGCCAGTGAGTACATATTTTTGGCTTTGTAGTCATACAACCTCTGTCACAACTGCTCAAGTCAATTTTAGCACAAAGGCAGCCCTAGATGATACAAAAACGAACGAACATAGTTTGTTGGAGTAAAACTTTATTTGCAAAGACCACACGGCTGGCCTACAGGTGGTAGTTTGCTGACCCCTGAGACACCTGAAAGTATATTCACTGGTTTAGTCCATAACAGAGTATCAAAGGTTGCCTTCTTTGGAAAATAAGTTCTTTTTATTTTTTTTTTAATTTTTAAAATTTTTTTAAAAGATTTTATTTATTTGAGAGAGAGAGTATGTGTGCATGATCTTGGGGGAGGGGCACAGGGAGAGGAGAAGCGGACTCCCCACTGAGCAGGGAGCCTGTGGGGCTCGATCCCAGGAGCCTGGGATCATGACCGGAGCTGAAAGCAGATGCTTAGCCTACTGAGCCGCCCAGGCGCCCCCAAGTTCTTTTTTTTAAAAAGATCTTTTATTTTCTCAAGTTGAAATTCATTTCTAGATCTTACATTAATACACATTTAAATATATTGTCTAATCACAGAAGTGCATTGTATAATACTATAGAGGAGTGGACATAGGGGACAGCCACTTGTGGTTGGAGCCTTGACCCACATGTGAGGCAAGCCTGACAGAAGCACAGTGTTCACATTTAAGTGAGAACTTGAGGCTTTAGACTTTTTTTTTTTTTTTTTTTTAATAACCTGAACCAGAACTCCCATACTCACTTTTCCTTTTTCTATTGGGTTGTTGGTTCCAACCTTTTTGCTGGTAGCACCTCTTCTCTGTTCTCTACAGTGTTCAGATCCTTCAGCTGTCTGCTTCTGGCCCCGTGGCCCCTTCTTAGCTTCCTCACTTTCTTTTTGAGAGGGAACAGTCTAACTGCCGATAAGTAGTCTCTCTGTACGTCACATTGAGTTGATTTTCATGTGCATAATTAAGACCGCGGGTTCCCAGGCATATCCCTGGTGAAGGTGCCCCGGCTACCACGTGGGTGAAAAGACAGGGTCCTCAGCTGACACAAAGCGTCACTGCGCTGTAGGTGGTTACTTACGGGTACTTATGTGAGTGATGACAGCTTCGTTGTCACAGGCAAAGGATAGCTTCTTGGTTTGCTTCAAGCTCATTTGTGGTTGTTGCCGGCAGCATAGAAGAAGCAAAGACTCAGCTTGGAGCTTCCAGTACCTGTCTCATTCCATTCTAACAGCTGATTGCATGTGAGGGCTTGTCTCCAGTTCCTCGGTACCGTGTCTTAGTGTCTGATCAGTTACTCACCTAGGGGACCATTTACACCATCCCAGTGATGGGTGAGGTGAGTCCCTTCTGCTTTCTGAGTTTTCTCCTGTGTTAGGGACAAAAATGCCCTGTCCTTTATGGATTTATAGAGCTGTTTTGAAGATGAAAGAGCATTAGCATAAACGAAGTGTTAAAACAAGATATGAACAGTTTCATGGCTCAAATGTGGTGCTGCCTGGAGGATTTTTCCTGGACAGCTCTCACGTGTCCTGTGGCTTATGTAGTATTAGGAGCCAGTGAATATTGATCGTGTAGTTACCTGTGTGTCACTGTTACCATCTGAGTTGCTGTGAGGACTCTTAGATTTCCCCACTTAGTATTGATCCATTTTTTTTTTCTTTTCCACCTTTATGGTCATAATCAGAGATCTGGTAAATAAACAGAGAACCAGTGAACAGGAGGTTCCTGGTTATGTCTTCACAGTGCTGGCTTAAGTACTGTGGGAAGGGCTGGTGTAAGGCATCATTGTTGACTTCTAATAGGAGGCAAATAACCAAGTCATCTGTCTCCTTTCATGGACTTTTATAATTCAGTGGAAGGGAAAAGCCATAGCTTTTTGACACATTTAAAAAATCCAAATTTCCCAAAAGTTCAAAAGTACCAAACACAGCAACGTGAATAGGCTTATCACCACTGATTGTACACCTAAAAATGGATAAAATGATAAATTTTGTGTGCTATATATTTTAGCACACATACATATAAAAAATGTTTTAAAAAAACCAACCTGTCAAATAATGGTTTTCAAGGCCTGTGCTTATGTCACTCTTCGGTGCCATGACAACAAAGCTGCTCTTTCTCCAGTCCCTTTTCTCTAAGGGAGGTTTCCTGGCTGCATCTCTGATGTCCTGTCTGAGAAGGATCCCAGGTGCCCTTCTGCCACCCTTGCTACATCCTGCATCAGTCCCCTCAGCTGCCCTGCTAGACACCCCATGTTCCTGTTTTTTTTTCAAAATATGTAGCATGTCTACTGTTCTTTTTCCAAAATTAAAGTCTTTGTGACTTTTAAAATGATTTTATTTTGAATTATCCAGTTGTACATTAATACATGCTTGTTCTGAAAACTTCAGAGTG